ATGGTGGTGATCGTGGTAATTTATAGCAATAGACATATCTCAGCAGAACTGGAACTATACTGGGACTAGAATAGTGGAAAGTTCGTAAGGCAACTAGAGATAATATATTTTCTGGTTTCCTTTTCTCTTACAAAATAATTTTGATAGATGAAAACTATTTTTAATGTCCTCACTGAATCAAATTTAAAACTGATAACCTTTATGTTGGTTTACAGCCTCCACCCACACTGTTTAAAACTGCATTGGTCTTCAGGTTCGATCCCTTGTCCCGCCTGCCTTGCCAGCCCCACTCCCGGGGTGTGCTGAGCCTGGGATCGAGTCAAGGCATGGTGGTGATGCCTGTAGTGCCAGCGCTGGGGAGGCTGAACATAGGAGGATCACTACGAGTCCAGGCTGTGTAGTGAGACCCTGTTCCAAATACGTAAATGAAAATAAAATAAAATTGTGTTGGTCCATGAAATCCCATTCCCTAGAACTCCCAGCGCCTGACCCAGGCTGCAAATCATCCCCTTTCCAAACGTGTTTTGCCTGATAAACACAGGCACATGTGCACACCCATGCTTACATGCATGTTCCACTATACGCTATCCTGTCTGTCCTGGCCCCTGGGCCATCTGACCCATCCAGAGACTCTCAGGGCCCAGCAGTTTCCTAGACAACAAGCACAGAGCTGCTGTGCAGGGCTTTGAGCACCAGAAGCAATTAAGAGTAACACTAGCAATTAACAGCTGTGGAGTCCCTCACTGGCTTTGTGAGCCACTCTGCTCAACTCTACAAAGAGGTTCAAGTCTCACTTATCCCTCCAGGTCTTGGCACACTTGTGGCCCCAGCATAGGTGTCCTGGGGCTAGCCTGGCAATTGTATGGCCTGCCGCATGATCCCTCTAGTTATCTGACTTCTGGAGTCTCTCACTTAGCCCAAGAAGGTGGACATCCTGGGCTCCTTCCTCACCTACCCTGACACCTTGAGATCTCTCCTTGGGGTCCTCTTCCAACACTTCTTCGGGGGACAAGACCTGGCTGTGATGGACATAGTGAATGATGGCTATAATGGGGCACTTCTGCACAAACATCCCCAGAGAGGCATTGCTGTCCACATCTGGTCCAGATATTGAGCACAGCGGAAGGTGCACCACCTGGCTGCACCAGTGCGTGGCCTGATGGGTGCTCAGCATTCTCTGCTCACTCAGATGCAGGGCGGAGGGTTGTCTTTGGCTCCTGTGCAATGGATTCTTTGGGTCAGGTCAGTGTGCCTTGCCTGCATGGCTGCTCAGAGTCATGCAGGAGGTCTATTAAGTCTGTTTTCTGTCACTGTAAGTGAATACCATAGGCAAGATAATTCATAAACAATAAAGGCTCATTCAGCTCACAGTTCTAGAGACCCAAGGTCAAGGGACTGCATCTGGTGAGGACCTCATTACTGGTGAGGACTCTGCAGTGTCCTAAAGTGGCACAGCACCTCCCATGATGAGAAATCAAGTGTGTCAGCTCAGGTCTCTCTTCCTGAGGTTTTTATTACATCGCCTGTCCCATCACCATTTATTACATCACCCCGCCCTCATGAGACCTCATCTAACAGGGAGAGCTTCCCAAATGCCATCAACCTGTGGCTGTGGGGAGTAGGTTTTACTATGAGTTGTGGAAGAGGCACATACCCAGACCAGAGCAAGCAGTGGGAAATAAGGCCAAGTCCCACCCTACAGCAGTGCAGAGAGCACAGGAGCAGGGCAGTTGGGTCGGGGAGAGGAGGTGGGCTCTGACACCCATGTGCCAGCCTGGCCCTATCAGGGAGTGTGGCTTTGCCTTAGTGGTCCAACTGTTGCCACCCATAAAATGGATCCAGTTGTCCCACTTCCCTCCATGTGCCTAGAGGGCCAGAGATCAGATGTGGGGGAAGGATGCTATGTTAAACAGAGACAATGATAAATACAGGTGAGACAGGCCCAAGCAGAGGGAGACAGCCCATTACCTATTTTAAGTCTGTGATCTAATAATTTGTGCCTCACTGTGCTTCTTGGTATACAGGACAACAAAATGACAAATGCATGCTCTAGGCAACTTGGCTTCGGGCAGCGTATTTACTGTATAACAAATCGCATTTCTAAAAACTTAAATTGTTTATTTTGTTTGTGAAATGTTATTGCTTTTGGACTGGCTTTGGGAAAAGACATTTCAGTAATTGTCAGGGCATTTTTGTTGAAGACGTTCATGCTGTGTTACTTCAATACCAGACTAAGTAGCGGCTGATTAGTGGTGGAGTGTACGCAGGCAGGTGTTTAGAATAGTAGCATGCATTAAGCTTGAAGTTGAACGAGGCGCTGTCCCTGTGGAGGGCGCCCACAGCCCCAAGCAAGTCAGGCAGGCAGCGTCAGCACAGAGCCTGAAGTGCAGCGTGTGTACTGCTCTGGGTGGGCGAAGGAGGTTAGGCGGGGCCCACCAGTAGTGCATCAGACATGCTTAATACATTTCCGCAATAATGGTGACAATAAAGATGAGGTGGCTGGGCAGGGACTCATAAGCATGTCATCATTGGGGAAGTGATGCGCAGGGGGTGGGGAGGCACGTGGGAGTTAAGTCCAGAGAGATCCAGTAGCCCTGCCTGTTAGTAAAGGTGCTATGACAGAAATCCAGAACTGCAGTCTGACAAGAATAGGAGGTTAATTCTCACTACTGGAACCACCTGAGGCATAGAGATCTGGGCCTTCTGATTCCAGTCACAGTCCCCGACCTCCACCCTTTAGGGCCTCCTAGTCTGTTTGTACTGGTAGAAAAAGAAAAGGAAGATAGAGAACAGGCTTCACACACACACACACACACACACACACACACACCCCTCTTTTACCTGCTCACATGATAGAGAACAGGCTTCTCTCTCTCTCTCTCTCTCTCTCTCTCTCTCACACACACACACACACACACACACACACACCCTCTTTTACCTGCTCACATTCCATTGGCTGAATCTAATCACATGCTCACACCCTGGTGCAAGGGTAGCTGGGAAATGAAGTCCCAAGCTCACCACCAGCCTCTCAGCACTTCATAGGAAGGAGACCTCCACCTTAGCTATCTCTCTCTGGTCCTGAAAAAGATTTTCCCAGAGCCTTATGTGTGTTCATCTTTGTACTGCAAATGTGTGCTTTGGGTTCCAGTAAAAATTACATTTACCTTGGAACACAGGTTAGAGGAGACCTGCAACAGAAAGGCTTATAGGAGTTAAAATCTGATTTCAAGCCAAAAGATTTAGGAAGGAGATGGTGCAGGAAATTTTATTTTGAGGGGAAATATCTAAACACACATTGTGGGCTGAGAAGATAGCTTGGCAGTCTAAGTGCCTGCCTGGCAAGTACAAGGTCTTGAGTTCAATTTCTGGTACTGCATGCTATGCTATCCTGGGACTCCAGGCTGGCCACTAAAACCGGGCATGGTGGAGCACCCCTGTAACCCCAGCTCTGGCGAGGCTGAGACAGGAGGATCACTACGAGTCTGAGCTGCGTAACAAGACCCTGTAAAATGATTTTTAAAAATTAAACAATGCATTATGAGCCACTATATTTTTGCTGTTTGCATTGTCGTGGGTCCCCTCCTCCAACCTGAAGCTACATATTAAATCTAATTACATCACTCATATTATTTCCCATGAAATTTACATCTAAATCTGCTGAGTAAGGGAAACAAGCAGAGGACTTAATTAGTAAAGTTAATCATGTTTGTTTAGTGTCTTTTTTTCTAAGGTTAGGAGAACGCAGCTGTAATCAGGGAAATAATACTAAATGTATCTTTCCTCCCCCAAGGGACCTCATATGCAGGTTCTTGGTTTTGCTAGGAGGCTTGGAGCATCACTTTTAGGATGCTGTCTCAGAGGATTCCGTGTGCCATCTGTTGTCACAACCATAGCTTAAAGGACCATGGCCCTTTCTGCTCTGTGGTTCCCCTTCCATCTCCCCTCAGAAGCAGGACTCTGCCTCCATTTCAGAATTATATTTTATTTTATTTTGGTTTGGGTTATTTTGGTATCAGAAATCAAGCTCAGGAGCCTACGCTTGCCAGGCAGGTGCTTGTGCCGCTACACTCCATGCCCAGCCCTCTGCCTGCCTAATGGGTGAAGCTCTTCCGCTGCTCTTCAGGATCAGCGGTGGTGTTCTTACATACTCCCCGGATTTGCACTCTCAGGCCACTGACCCAGGCCTCCTCTTTTCTCTTGGATCTTTCTCCTGGACAGCACACCTCATGTCTCATGGGGCAGATGGAGGAGAGCCCAGCCAGCCTTGTATAGGCTCAGTAGTAGGCACCAGGACTTTTCTTTTTTTTTCTCTTTATTTATTTATTTATTTATTTTTAATTTTTTTTTTTTTTTACAGTTTCAAACCAAATTGTTAGGACAGTTTCAATAATTAACACATTGCATACATTCTTCCTAGTGGTTAGTTGCTGTACAAGATGCGGACTTGATATCCTATTTACAAACACCATTAGAACAAATCCCTCTGTTCATTAAGAACATGTAACTATATATCTATCCTAACCACTTTGAATACACAGATACGAAATGGACATTCATCTGTATCCCCTTTTTTGTTAAGTTCCATCATTTAAATATTATAGATGTGTAAACTCAGCAAAATATTCTAAAAGAGTTCAGAGGTCCATAATAGTATTGAGTCTTCTGCTTCACTGGCAATATCAGAAATTGTTGACCTGAGTCCCCTACAGCTCAACATAACAGAAAGGCTTTACTGCTTATACTTCATTTTTATACTTTTCTGCTGGATGGTTAAGACCAAGGTAAAGCAGGACCTATGCAACAAGAGTTGTAGCTTTTGGGTCTGATAAGGTCAGTGAAATCCCCTCAGGATTTATCCTGAGATCTTGTACCTCAGATTGTAGAACCTTTGTCAGTGTCAGCCATATGAATGAGTCACAGCCATTGCTTGGCCAATGTGCTCTCCATCAGGACTTTTCTAAACAACGTTTCATTTTTTTTTTCCTCTCTCCACACAGAAACCCGTGCGGACCGCAGCAAGAAGCTCTTCAGGCACTATACTGTGGGCTCCTACGACAGCCTCGATGCATCCGGGTAAGATGTGCTTCTGTCCCTGCCACAGCCCTGCTGGGCAGATGCTCGCGTGTGCCATGGACACCCTGGGCTATCTCATGCGGAGGTCTCAGACCCTTTTGGTTTGCTTGTGTCCCACCACACTGGGACCATGGAAGCCACCATCTTCCTGTGTGGCCCTACAGTAGGGATTGAGCTACAGCACAAGCAGGGGGCCTGGGAGAGGCGGGCAGCTGTCCAGGGGCAGAGAGCACCGTCCCACAGAGGGGGTACAGCAGGCACAGAGACACTCTCAGGGATGCAGTTAGGACATCCAGGTTTCCTCTTCGCCTGTGTTTCCCATGCTCTCTACTGTCTCCTCTGGGGAGCTGGAGTTCACATTTGATGGGGTGGCTGGCCGGGGTAAGGGAGACTTTCCCACGGAAACCAAATTTCAACAGCAAGGGCCACAAAGACATCCTCATCTCAGTGCCCCTTCTCCCTGTGACAGAGGGAGAGGCTGGGCTTGGGTGGCGCCCTTTCAGACAGGGGCGTCATGAACAGCTGGACACCACAGAACCTGCTGTGGCCACTGTTCCACTTGCTTTATCAGCTTCTCTGATCCTGCTTGACCCTTCTCAGAACCTGCTTGGGTTCTGAGTGTCCCCAAGCGTGGAATTTCTCCATCCCTCTGTTCCCCTTGCAAGCCACACATCTCCCTGCAGCAGCATTGTCCTCACTGGGGCCATGGGGTGAGACTTTGCAGGCAGAGGCCTTGCGGAATCAGGGGGTGGGGTGGGGAGGGGAAGGACATGTGTGACTGCTTCTGGGAGCACCAGCGCCTAGCCTGTGGGTTCCATTTGAGAGCCCCCACACACACCCCATCAGATACCTGCCGAGAGGACCAGTCTGTGGTCCTCCTTCCCTGACTCCTCCCCAACCTCAGGGGCTGTGATGAACACCCAGCTCTGTTCCCACAGCCCCATCTGCCTCCTGAGGGGTCCCGCCTGAGTTTGTTTTTATTGAGGCAAGAGTTGGGTAACATCAAATGTATATTTTAAAGTATATAATTCGCTGGCATGTAGAATGCTGATGGTATGATGCAGCCACCAGGTCTGTCTAGTTCCAGAACACTTTCATCACCTCAAAAGGAAGCCCTGTGCCCTTGATGGTCACCCCCATTCTTCTGGCCCATGGCAGCTACCACCGGTCCACTTTCCATCTATACGGATGTATCTGTCCTGGGTGGGACCTCTATAGTGTACAGCCTGTGTTGCCATCTCACCACACTGAGTACATCCCTGGCATACCCCCGTGTCGTAGTGAGCATCCCCTTTCACTCTCAACACTCCCAGTATTTCTATTGTAGTAAACTATAACATTCAGAGTCTCGTCCGGACCATGTTGAAGTGCATGGATCAGCAGTGGCATTCTTACAGTTCAGGGTTAAGCCCAGGCACACTGCTGTGTAGCCGTCACCACCGTCCACCTCTAGAACTTCCTCTGAAGCCCTCTCCCCGTTGCATATGGACCCACACCTGTCTCCCCAGCTCCCAGCTCCCCCATCCTGCCTTCTTTCTCTGGATCTAGTGACTGCAGTGACCTCGCGTAAGTGGGGAGCACACAGCCCCTGCTGTTTTGTGACTGGCTCAACTCTCGAGGTGCAGTGTCTTCAAGGCCCATGCATGCTGTAGTGGGCGCCAGAATTTCTGTCCTTCTCAAGGCTGAGCGGCATCCCCATGTTTCTTTATTTATTCATCCTTTGATGGCAGTTGATATCTGCTGTTGGCTGTTACTAATGATACTGCTTTGGACTTTTCTTAGAAGTACTGGCTTGAACATGTTGTTTGGGCACTTACCTGGGGGTAGAACTGCTGGTTGGATTTAGTGCTGCTGTCAACCTCTTCTTCCACCTCTGTCCTAACAAGGTACACGGTATCAGGAGTAGAAGCCTACCTAGGGAGCTGGGGTCCCTTCTAGGGGAAAGTGTGGATGCTCTAGGTCTTGATCTATTGCCCTCACATTTTGTGTGGTGCTAGGGTTAGAACCCAGGGCCTTGCATGTCCTAGGCAAGTGTTCTACCACTGAACTGCCATTGATTGCCCATTTCTTTACCTTAACATGTTCACAGCAGGGCCACCTTATACCATCAGTGGTATATGCATGACTGTACCAGCATGACTGTACCACTTCTACCACCGGTGGTGTAAGCAGCTGATGGGACAGTTATACATGTACTGTTGGTGATTGTCACTAGACCAGTGGGGGCGAGTTAAACTCTATATGTGAGCATAGCGTGGTATGAGCATATCCCCCAAGAGAGTCAGGGGCCAGTGGCCACCAGATATCTGCTGCTACTACAGGATACATCAGACACAATGGGCAGTGGACCGTGGGCCCTGGACAGTGGTCACAGTTGGGGGAGGGGCTTCAACCCATACTTACATTCCAGCAAGGGGGGGCTTGGCAAAGCCAACATCTCCAGGAACACCTGGAGAGGCATCACTATGGCCACTTGGAGGACTTGCCAGGTACAGAGCGGGGTCTAAGTGAAAAGAGCCCCTTCCATCCAGGCAGTGGCTGTCCTCAGGCAGTGGCAGTCCTTAGGCAGTGGCTTTTACAGAGCTATCTTTCTACCAGGACCCTTGTCTTCAGGGACAGAGCAATGAACAGCTCATCTTGACATCTGTGAGACTGGGTGTGCACCCATGCACGAGGGTGCATACACACATCTGTGTGAAAGTAGGTGTGCATGCACACTTTTCATGTTACTCATGTGACTTCAGGGCTCCCCTCCTATGGAGAAGTGATGGGAACACTCAACTTGAACGAGCTGGGGACAGGAAGGTGGTAGGGCCAGCTAACTGGGGCCCCAGAGCAGAGGCATGTCATGTGACTAGCAGCAGGCCCAGTGTGCCTGGGGCACAGACTGCAGGTTAGCCAACCAAGGACAAGTGAGATGGTTGTAGCTATTTAGGTACCAAGTGGGCTGCCTGTGATGTAGGAGCTCCCACCACTTAAGAGTCAAGAAGCGCTGAGTACGCTCATGCCAGAAGGTCACAGAAGGTAGGACCAGTTGGCTACTGAGATCCCTGCCCCTTCAGCATCCCTGCTTTTAGTATCCAGATGAGGACTTTTGTTTTATTCCTGTTCGGAACACTTACTCTGTGCCAGCAACTGGGACCACAGAGAAGAGGGCCTTCCAAGAGGGCCTTCTGGCCACATCAGGGCCAACTGGTAGCGTTTAAGCAAGGGGTAGACCAGACTTCAGGTGAGGCCTGACTCTACCATGGCAGAAGGTTGGACGAGCTGTGGGTTTCTTGTGACCTGACATTAGAGTAAGAGAAACCAGGGTTGTAATCATGTCATTTACTCATCTTCCCATGTGTCATAGTTTGGGGCTTTTGCAAGGGGGACATACAATACAGGACACATTTTATAAGACTATTTTATAATCACCCAAAGAATCACATATAAAGAGTGCAGGAAATCTATCCACACACTAAAGACCAAAGAATTCAGCCAAAGCCCTGGATCCTAATATCCAGCATGAGTCCCGCTGAAAACCTAGAGCCCATAACAGTGCTTCCCACAAGTCCAGTTGGAGGCCTAGAACCCACAACAAAGTCCCATGCAGGCCCACTTCACAGATCTGTGCTGGGAAGGCCCAAAGGTCAGTGGCAGAAGCTAGAAAGTCTGTGCCAGCGGGATGAAGGGTCTGTGGCAGCAGGCTGAGGGATCTGCACTGCAGCCAGGGAGCAACACTCAAGGTAAGAACCAGAGCTTCCCCAAAAAGTACCACAGCCATCCTCAGCAACAGTGAGGTCCTGAACTCCTCCAGGGATGGGGAAAGCTGAGCTCCCATCAGGAAAACCAATGTGACAAGCCTCACCAGGAGGTTGAGCAGTACACCATCTTCCCCTCCAGAGCTAGGAAGCAGTGTTCAAGATGAGGACCAGAGCTTCCCCAAAATGAACCACAGCCATTCTCAGCAACAACAAAGATCCCAAGCTCCTCCTCAGACAAGAACAGCTAAGTTCATTGGGAAAGTCAGCCTGACAAAGTCCTCCAGCAGAATAGCCCAAGAGAACAAGCAGCTTGCAACAGCTCCGAGAGCTTCCCTAACAGCCTCTCAGAAGCTTCTCCAGTTTTGCCTCTTATGCCGCTGACAGTAATCCTCAGGTGGGCCTCCCACACACACACACCCCCACCATGCTAGTTCAGTTCAGCTGGGTGTTGACCACCAGTTAACAATCCACCATGCATCTGCTACCCTGTCCTAGTCACAGTACTATCAGTGACTACACTCTTGCCTTGTACAACAGGTATCATTATCTATTTTATAGAGAGACAGTGCCATTGAAAAAGAAAGGCCCAAGCAATGGAGCTCACCCCTGGCCCTACCAATTGTCAGTCTGGCCACCAAGGCCCTGCCCACTGAGGCCAAGATATCATTGCTTAGGACTGACCTGAGATGGAGGAAAACAGCAAGGTGGGATTTCTCTGTGGAGATAGTTCTCTGAAAAGCTGCTCTGGAAGCATCCTTGGGAGAGAGAATGTTGCTTGCTTGGTTAATGTACAAGGCATGGCTTGCAGGGCCTCCTTCACTCGGAATGGCAGCCCTGGCCTTGGCCAAACTGTGACCTTGACAGGGCCCTGGTGGTTCACAATGTGAGTGTTTGTGGATGAATAGATTCAGCTGTCTCATGGGCTATCCGAACCCATGGCTAGTCTGGCTCAGAAGAAAGAGAGGCTGACCATTGGTCCCCTGATTGAGCAGGCAGGATGTGCCTGGGAGCAGGCATGCCGCAGTGCGGCAACGAGCAGCCAGCAATTCGTTAGTCCACTTCAGAGCCCCTGCTAGAAATGGCCTAATGAGCAGCGGAGACCTAGGGCTGCACCAGCCAATTACCCACTGTAAGCGGCAGGTCATGTCCAGGCAGGTGGCACATGGCTGAGGCCGCCCCACTGTGAGTACAAATGCAATTAGAGGCGATTCAATAGGAATCAAGACTGCGAGATATTCATTGAGTCAGGTGGGA